CAAGTACGCTGTAATTTTCAGTTTGCTTTTTTGCTTTTTTTTTTTTTTTAAAATATATATATATATAATTGGATTGGAGACATAGCAAATTTAGAACTTCTAGACTACTAGCCAACGGGTCTAGTCTAATAAAAAAAAATCTCGATTTGTATATCAGTGGTCTCAAATTGGAACCTTCAAGACACTTTGGCAGTGTGTGTATAAACTCTCATACCTTCAGGGCCCATTCAATAATGTTTTTACAGCCCCCTTTTTTTTTTGTATCATGTTTTTAGGCAAATACATGTTCGGTGGTTTTCCCTCACAAAATGTTTTTTTATTTTCATTTTCTGAATATATGAAAATTCATTTTGTCCCAATCTCTCTTTCTCCAATCAACTGAGCAGCACCATTGTGGAAACCATCTCCTTCGACCCAGACCCATCGTCAGCATTGTTGACCTTGAGTTCAGGTTGGTCTATCCATTTCAGTATGCCGCATTGGCACCGGCGACTGATGTTGGAGAACCACAAAACAACAAAACCAAGAAGAGAGAGAGAAATGAATGTTTTTATTTATTTATAAAGAGTAGGGCAAATACAGTACTACATCAAGGTGGGATCTGGTAAGGAAGAAGAAAAGAGAAAGGAGAGGAGAGAAGAGGAAGGAAAAAAAAATGGGAAGGAAGAAGAAAGAGAAAGGAGAAAAGAGGAAGAAAGAAAGAAAAATGAGAAGATAAAAAAAGTAGATAAAAATAATTTTACCCTTTAAAAAACATGAATTTTTTACTTGTTAAATTATATATATTTTTATTGTTTATAATAATCTCAACCTTTAAAAAATATCAGATTTTTTTGGGGGTTAAATTATACATATTTCATTGTTTATACTACCAGTCACATTTTCATTGTTTTTATTTTATGAGACTGTATTCTAATTAAGCTACTAGACATATTCTCAAATCCTAAAAATGCAAATTTGTTTTCTCATTTTCATTCTTCGAAAATATTTTCAAAAAACATTCTTTAAAAACGTTACCGGGCCCTAAATATCTTGTGCATCAATATTTGGACTCAATTTGTACCTATTGATCCCGTACCCATCTCATACCCATTTTTCATCCTTTATACCTGAACCAATAGGATTGAAGCCCAACAAAGACCCTTACCCATGGAGAAAATTGTCATTCCTGGTCTCTGTAGATTCCTATTAGAAATGCTTCAGAAAAGATAACCATAAACACGTTTTGTTCCTTTTTTTATTTGGTTCAGAAAGCTTCATCACAACAGCAGTCCTTTTTGGCAAAAATACATCACCCAAACGATTTCAAGGAAATTCCTTGTTGCACACGCCAAGTGAAATGAATATTTGGAAAAAAGAAAGTAGTTTGTGAAGCTCATGAGAGGTTCTTCATAAAAGGTCTTTTTGCAGGATGAAACAGGGGATGACCATGGGCTTTTCGTTTTTTTCTTTCTTTCTTATAGTTCTTGTAAATAAGAGTTTTATGTTACAAATCAAAATTGTGGCTAGTTTTCTCTTAAACTCTCAACTAGAATGAGCTTCTCAGCTCCTAAGCAAATGAAAACAAAAGTCACAAGCTTTTATATATCTATCTCCCTTTCTATGCAACCCTTCAATTGGTCGCGTTTATGAAATTTTCCGTTTTGAATGAATTAGTTGTTGGGGAAAACCAGCCCTCAATCCAAGTAGCCCGCCCGGTCTCGGAGCATTCCATAACGTGTGAGTAACCTTCGCGAGTAAAAGGAAAAGGTGAAGGATAAACAAGTTTCATTCCTTTGCGAAATGCTTAAGAAAGTTTTTCTGCCAAAGACAATAAACTGTAGTTAAACCGAAAAGTGAAGAATGGAAAGGAAATTTGATTTCAAGAAAGAAGAAATTACCATCTATATGCTGAATGTGGGAAATCTTGGGCCATTCTTTGCTCTGTAGAAGAGGACATCCACAAAATTCTAGGGTTTTTAATTTGGTGAGACGTTGAATAGCTATGACACTAGGTAGATACATCAGGTTCTTAAAATTCCAAATCTCCAGCTTCGTAAGGGATGTGAGGTTACCCAACCACTGTGGAAGAGCCTCCACTCCATGGAAACATTGTATCGACAAATATGTTAGAGAAGTGAATTTTTGAATTTGTTGAGGTAGAGACTTTAGCTTGGGCCACCCCCTCAATATTAATGTTTCAAGCTATGATGATCCAACTTGAAAATCAGGGAACGAATCGAGGTCTAACCCTCCAAGTTTCAAAACCTTCAAACTGGTGGAGCAGTGTGGCCCTATAGGTAGACATTTCAATTTGCCACAACTATTAATTTCCGACTTAGAGAGACATGTGAGGTTGTCTAAACTCAGAAGAGCCTCTAAATTAGGGGCGCAACGTATTTTCAACTCCACAAGAGAGACAGGCATTTGTAGCCCACTACACAGCAACCTTTCTAATTTTTCGCAATTTTGAATGCTCAATTGACGTAGGGATGTGAAGTTTTGTAATTCTGGAATAGACTGTAGACCACGGCAATAGGTTATATATAACTGTTCAAGGTTGCTACAGCTCCTGCTCAGTAGAAAATTTTCATCACTTATATCTACATTGGCAGGCAAAGCACTATCAAATAAATGGTCATGGTCATGTTCATGGAGTGATATTGATGAAATGGATGTTAGCTTTGGGCAAAATGATATATCCAACTTTTGAAGAGAACACAATTGTTGTAACGTAGGCAAGCTTGATATCACATTGCAATATCCAATTGTCAGTTCCCGAAGAGAGGTGAGGGCCATGCCATGTGTAATACGAATTGATGTTAGATTACTGCAATCCCATATCCACAATTCCTAGAGAGATGTGCAACAATCAAGCCCAACACATTTTAGATTATCCATTGCATAAATTCAAACAACTATAAGATGAGGTAGACAGCCGAGTACTGGAATTTCTTCACATTTGTGACACCTGTGAAATACAATTTTCTTCAAATTTTCAAGCCGTAACGAACTATTCATCATCCATGATGGAAATTTAGCACCCATGAAACGTACAATCTCTAGGATTTCTAATTTAGGATGCAGTTGGAGGCCTTCTAGTACATCCTTCTCATTATTGTTGGTTCTTGACCTATTTTCTATCCATACAAATATCAAGTGACGTACATTTTTCTTCTCCTCTAATTTAGCTTTCCTTGCTTCATCTTCATCCCTCACATGTTCCAGATTACAAATAACCAATTGACCTTTCAATTGATTCAAGGCAGCCAGCTCCTGAATTTCACGGCCTATCTCCTTATCCACATAAAAGGGAGGTAATGTTCAGAGGCTAGTCAATTTTCCCAATATCCCACAAGGAAATTTCATTCTCTTGTCACAATAAACATGTCTCAAGTTGATCAAGGTTTGCACTTCTTTTGGAAACTCTTCAAAAGCGCAGTATCTTGCTCTTAATGTCTGTAGGTTATAGAGCTTTCCAATAGACCTTGGGAGTGTTTTCAATCTTGTTTCTGAAATGTCAAGATACCTCGAGTGTTTCAATCTCCCAACCCAACTTTCTCGAATTCTTTCTTGCATGGAAGTAGAAACCCGAGCAACATGTTGAATCTCAAGCGTATAACCTGACTTATCTCCTATCAAGCTTTCCGATTTGGATACAAGTTCTGCAAGATCGTGCACAAGATCGTGCATCTTGCATTTGCTAATAATGCCATATTCATTTGCTGTAGCATCTTGAAATAAAGAGCTTTGCAGTAGAATATCAAAATATTCATTACCTACATCCTCCATCTATTCACTTTCGTTGCGAGAAGGGTGGAGTAATCCCTGAGCCATCCAAAGTTGAATCAAGTTATCTGTTTCAATTTCGACATCTTTTCTCAACATTGAGCAATATGCAAAACATTGCTTCAAAGATGGTGATGTCAAATTATCAAAACTCAACTTCAAGATTGGAATGATTCTATCTTCTTCTTCAGCTAAGTCCCATATTCGACTTTCTTTGATTGAAGACCATTCAGCAATACTATTTTTTGAGCGCAAAATGTCTCCCAAAACCTGTTACATGTATTAGAATTTCTATCAAGTACTGAATACGATTAAAATTGGCAAAAACAATAATGGACCATCAATAGGTTAAATGGCGCTAACTATCACATTCTATTGGATAATAATACTCCACTTTGCGAGAGTTTTGTGTTTTTGGTTTTTGGTTCTTTTAAAAACTTTGTTAGAACTATTACATGTGTATTTTAAAATAGAGCTATAATGAAAGAAGTTAGAGGTGACTTATCAAGTAGTAAATGAGAAAGAGCTTCTTGCCCAACTTTTTTCTTTTCAGGATAAAAGAAAAGAAAAATGTGGTTAAAAAAGAAAAAAATAATAAAGAAAAAGAGGAAAGAATGTCTTTAGTAAGTTGTGTGGATCCAATCCAATTTGGA